TGGATCCAGCCTGGCCAGGTCCCTCTGCAGAGCCCTCCTCCCCTCCAGCAGATCTCCTGCCCAAATTGGTGTCATCTGCAAACTGACTGAGGGTGCCCTCAATCCCCTCGTCCAGGTCTCTTATCCTGGTCTTGCGTTAGGTGTGATAAAGCAGGGGCTCTCTGGGGAAAAGGGGGCCCTCTCTCTTCCTCCTGGCATACCCGAGGGGTTCCCACAGGAGCCAGCTCCTGACCACATCCCTCTCCCGCAGGTCGTGCCTCAGTCATCCCCACGCTGCGACCTGCATGCCAACCTCCTGCAAAACGGCTGCGGGCCAGACTACATCGAGTTCCCCACCAGCACCGTAACCATCCTGGAGGACCGACCCCTCAGCAACAAGGGCTCGGGGAGCTCCACCACCACCCAGATGAGCCCCCAGAAAATCCAGCTGAACCTGCGGCCGGGTAAGAGCCCCCAAATGGCTGTGGGAAGGGGAGATGCAGTGGGAATAACCCAAAGGGCTCAAGTGATGAGTGAGCCATCCCTCTGCCTCGCTGGCCAGGGCTGTCTCGTGTCTGTCAGGGGTAAGGCCAGGCTGGGGGCTGCACCGAACCCCCCGCACCGGGAATATCCCAGGCTGTCTGCAAGCAGATTTCTGCTGTTCAGTATCTTGGCTCAATCCTGTGGTACCCCAAGGGGCGGGACGGGATGCAACTTCAGCACCTCATGGGCTTATTTTATAAAGTCATTTAGACCTCGGCCACTGCTGCTGCACTCTGAATGCTTTGGTGGAAGCCAGGTCGTGTCTAACGAGCCATAGAGCAGCTGGCAGGGTTGGACTGCCAACAGGTCCCTCTAATTTCCCAGACTCGTTTCAGCCAGGCAGGCTGGAGCCAATTAACTGTTATGGTCATTTGCCAGCATCGAGGAGCTTTGAGTGGCGCCAGGCAGGAGGCAAAACTAACGGGCGTCACTTGCCCATGGTCACAAAACCGGTTTGGAGAAGGTGGAGTGAGTGGTGCCATCATCGTGCTCTGCCCCACATGTAGCCCACCCCTGGCCACCCACTCATGG